GTGAGGTGGTGGCGGTTTTGTGGTGGGGGCTGCCGGTAGTGGTGTTCGGTGGTGGTGTTGTGTGGTGTTGGTAATGGTTGCCGTGAGGTGGTGGCGATTTTGTGGTGGTGCGGTGACTGGTGTGCTACTGTGTGCGGTGGAGGTGGTGGTGTGAGTTGTGCGCGGTGGTGGTATGGTGAGGTGGAGGTGGATGTGGATGTACAGTGGTTTATTTGACGGTGATGTCGTGTCGTGACAGTGGCAGTGAAGGTGTGGTGGTGAAAATGTCGGCATTCAAACGGGAATTTTGTTGCTGGGATGTGGTGGTGGTCACAAATTGTGACCAATAAATATGTTGGTGTGTGACCAATAATAATAAAGTGTGAGTAAGAAATATTCTTGTGACTCAAAAAATTGCTAATTGTGCCCTAAAAATTATTAATAGTATTTCTGGAGTATGTTGAGTTCAGTCATGTTTCCTTTATATTGTAACATTTGATTATATTCTGCTGGGACTAAGTATTGATCTGTCAATGATAAAAGGAGATGTTGAACTTGTTTATACTGTGTATTGATGCTTGTATTAGGCTGTAAATTCCCAACAGTTTATTTAATTAATTCCTAGGGATGACATGTCATGCATCCTTTCATTAGGCAGTGGTGTGTCAGTGAAGGAGCGGCAATTATTGATTAAATTCTGTAAAATGATCAATGTACGCTTTAACATTTAATTCCTTATTCTGCAAATAGGGGCATTTCTGTCTTTGGATCATTGTTGAGTCAATAATAACTGCACACATGGGACCTACCTTTGTGTTCAACGTTCAAAAAATGGATTAAAATCTACACAAAATTGCTTCCAGACAGATGCTAGATTGTAAAAAGTATTCGTTTAAATATATGTTATTCATTTATATATTGTTAGGCTTGCAAAAAAAATGTGTTTTAAGGGCCTCAGAAAAATTAGTCGTGTAGGGCCTCAAAATTCTTAGGACAGCCCTGTTTATATCTATATGTCTCACTTTCTAGTGTTGATCAATATTTTGAAACCCAACTCAAGCTCCGACTCAAAAAGACAACTAGTCAAGGATTAGTAATTAAAAAGTTGAACTGAAACTAAAAATAATTAATAAATCTGGTCAACTCGTGGTCTGTTCAACCGGTCAATTGAACATGCATGTTTTATCCCTATTTTTAGTATGTTATTTTTAGCAAAAATGGAACCGATTTCTTAACCAGTTTTTCATTTTTACGATCGGCCAGATTTTACAACACTGCCATTGGTATGAATGCATGCTGTTAATCAGTATATGACGATTTGCTGAAGGTATTATGCAACTTATTCAAAGGGTTTCAAGAATGGAAGCAAATGAAAAAAATCTGTCCTCCTAGGAATCTAGATTCTGATATTTATTCATGTCATTGGTTATTACTAGAAAAATAAAATGTTCCCTACTATTTTTCTATATATAAAAGGAAGAAATAGGAATGTGATATTTATGTCAATTTAATTTCCAAATTGTGTTATGCAATGAATTTATGGCTGTTTTTCTTTTGACAGCTATGATAACTGTTTTTCCAAATTGTCTTATGATTAATGTAATTAGTTTGACATCCACTTTAAATCTCAAGAAAATTGTATTCAGTGTTTAATTTTTAACATTAATATAATTATCATTTCTGCCTCTTCTCTTCTGTATATAAATCATGTCTGAAGCTAATAAAATTCATTGCTTCCAATATCATTCATTCTAAAGAAACTTTTACTTTCTCAGTATCCTTTTCTTGATTTTCATTTCTCCCATGGCTTCGTTGAAGGTGGCTTTTCTAGCCTTTCTCTTGCTTTTTGCATCAGGTCTCTCTCTCTCTCTCTCTCTCTCTCTCTCTCTCTATATATATATATATATGAATTAATGTTGTTATTAATGCAGGTTTTATGTTAATGAATGTGTCCGCACAGGCGCTACATTGCAAGGAAAATGCTGATTGTGCTGCTTATTGCAGATCTCGTGTTGGAATACCGCTTTGTCTAAGTGGGATCTGCCAATGCTACACTTCCGAAGAATCAACAAAATCAGCCGGTGGCACAAAGGGTTTCAAAACTAGAGGCTATTGAACAAAATTTGTCCTCCCAAAAGTCTATTCTATTTCTCTGCTCATTTGAGGAAATAAGAAATAGAAATGTCATTGCATCTAATTAATTTCCAAATTTATGTTATGCAGTAAAATTATTTCTAGAAAAAATGTGCCCTGTTAATTTTCTTCTTATAAAAGGAAAAAAGAAACAAGAACGTGATTAATTACATCAACTTAATTTCCAAATTGTGTTATGAAATGAATTTAGTTGTGAATTTGGCCGTTTTCTTTTGAATATATGATAATTGCGTCTTTTAATTTGTTGAAAACGGTGAAAAGGATGTATATCTATAATCTATTATTCACTAACAATTTTATCCCACACATATTTGAACTATTTCAGTATTGTCATTTTGTACCTCATTATTATAATGGTAGATTCCAAATAAAATTGACAAAAAATTGAAAAAACAAAAACTCCCAGATACCATGTATACATAGCTGTTTATAGATATAGTTTACATATGAAAATGAAGGCGGCTTCCCTGAAGGTGGTGATCTTGTTGAGTTGAGATCTATTGTTCAAAAATGACTCTCTAACTTGCTGAACACCAACAATTCATTGACACGTCATTTTATACCTATTTTTAAACACAAGCAACAGCAAGAGAAAAGTTGCACACATTAATTTAAAATGATGTGTCAATGAATCATTTGGGTGTACAGCAAGTTGTATAACCGATTTTGAACAACAAATCTCAACTCGATTTTGTTAGCCTCTCTTGCTATTTGCATAAGGGATATGATTAGATGCAGGTTTTGCCACCAAAATGCAAGAAAAATGATGATTGTGTAGCCTATTGCAAAGCTAGAGTTGGCATACGGCTTTGTCTAGATGGGATCTGCCAATGCCATTGAGAATAAGTCAACAAAACCCGTGCCACAAAGGGTTTCAAGACATGCATAGAAAAGGAAATAAGAAATACTGATGTGATTCTATCAACTTAATTTCCTAATTATGTTGTGCAAGAAATTTATCTATTAATATGATCGTGTTTCTTTGGGTTGTACGATGATTATGTCTGTTCTTTGGGGAACCCAAGATGTAAATAATTAAATTGGGTGTGATTCACGTTTGATAGGATATGATAGATGGTAAGTTCAATTTACTTCTTTCACGACTTATTCCGCCTGACATGTTCAACAATCAGAAACATCTCGTCAATCATAGCACTTCCTATCTTTCGACTACAATGATGTGAAATACATTGTTATCCAGTACACAGATGACAGAACAAAACGTTCCTTTATTGTATCGAGGAAACAACACACATGATTAAACAAGAACACGAAACACAAATTAGCCTCAAAAGGAATAAAAGAATTAGCACCTGTAACAGAACCATATTCATGTATTCCAAACAGCAGTACAAAGACATACAAGAGAAAAGGCATAACACAACTAAAAAGTAGAGCAATAAATATGTCATCCAAAAACAACTTAATACATAAATAGGAGCTCACCAGCCAAGCATTCCTCAAGCAAAGTCAAAAACTTGTCCTTGGGGATCAACTTGCCTTCTCTCTCTTCTTTAGGAAACGGCTTACAGCAGCTATCACAGCAAGGGGATTCTCAAGATGTACAGCATGTCCAGAATTTGGAATTTCAATAATTGTTGGAAAGTCAGTATTCTTAGTTACATCGCTCATTTTCGAGTACATTTCCCAAGCAATCTTCTTGAATTTAATATCCTTTTCTCCAACGACAAGCAGAAGAGGTAATGTGCAGTTCTTCAGATCTTCCCACATGGGTCTATGATGAAAAGAAAGAAAAATAAAAAACCAACTTTACGTTTATATAACGATACAAAGGGTAATTCAGTAAATTAGACATGTTAATGTAGTAAAAGAATACTGAGACATAAGAAATAAAGGACCCTTATGTTGTTGAAGTGATTTAAATCAAAAAATTAGAAGAAATTCAACTTTTGTGCATCATAATGCCATAGCTCAAGTCCATTGAAAATGTTTGGACAAGGTGAGTACCAAATATTTTCAATAAACAAATTTTCACTTTCCTGAGGATCCAAGTTTTATAAACTTACTGTTGCCTTCCGATGCTCAGATCAGATAAAACTTTAGCAAGAGTGTGCAAGTCATCATGCTGCAAACGGTTAGCAACTATTTGCATGAAGTGTGGATGGCTTCTTAAACTGTATGACAAAAACACAACAGCAAGATAGTCATACATTTTAGGACACAATCCTGAAGAGTATTTTTGTAGAATGCAAATGCACATATAAACCAGGAAAATAAAACCATCAGTTACCTAGTCCACAATTCTTCAGAATACCAAGTATCTAGAAAAAATTCTAAGCCATTTGAAACAAGGGAGGAGGCTCGGAAATCATCTTTAGCCCTGCGACTTGTTCTAGCATCTGGATCTATCAAACCCGGGCTTCCAGAAATTATGACGGCTCCTTCAACCTTTTGTAGTAAATTGACAGATATTTGTGATTGTCAAAGACTAAATGTAAATAAAAATACTGTATCCCAATCTAAAGCTTAAGCAGTTAAGCTCTAATATGAGGTGCATCAACAAGACATCAAAGGGAGGCATATGTTCTGTATTCAAGCGTCACCGCCATTCATTTATAAAATTGTGCATGTGTAGTTCCTTTTGGTTAAAAAAGGATTCCGGTAGGCATGTGAGGGGACATGTCAAATAAATGTGTCCCCTATAACAATTTAAGTTTTTAGATGAGGTGGTTCAATAAAGTGAGAAATCAAACCCATTGAGCAAAAAATTTAAGCACCTATTACTGTACCTTATTACTGCATTTAAGGGCCATGCATAAAGAGATCCTTGCTCCCATCGAGTACCCCATAAGAACAACCTTCCCAGGAGTAAGATCATGAAGGACTTTGCATAACATATTGACAACTAAATCCATCGACAAACTTTGTCCTTGTGAAACATCAAGCAACTTCGATCCACCATGGCCAGGAAGGTCAATTGCAATGCATCTGATTGAGCTTGAGAGGGCCTTCATGATAGGGATCCAATCTTCACCAGTTCCAAGAAAGCCGTGAAGAAACACAACTACAGTATCCTGCAGTGACTGGAAAGTGAGGAACAGAATGCAAAGAATCAAGCAACAGACTCACAGGGCTACTAAAATAAGTGAATTGAAGAAGCCCAAAGAGATTTTGCCATATAAAAAATCATGTATCAACAAATAGTTTCCAACAGAACCAATTAACATAAATCAGATAAGATAGGATATCATTTTCCACTTCTGCCAAGACAAGTGTTTTCATAGAGCAGTATTTAGTTATTCATCCAGCAGGTAAATCAAGAGTGCATATTTGATACTTACATCGATGCTTTTCCCAATTTCAAGAATATTTAGAGAAAAGGAGACACCGTCTGCATTAACTGTTAATGGATATTTCCTAACTTGTGACTGAGCAGAAGTTTTAACCACCATATTGGGATTGATTTGGCATTGCTGGAGGAATCGACCAGCATCAATAACAGACGCTGCTACAGAGATATTTAGAGGCTCCACTGTCACATCTTCTTGAAACCACCGGTAAGTTCCAAGACCGTGGGCTATAGATAAATCAGGTTTCCTACTCATTAATCTACAAATATCAGCATTTTGCAGGTCCAAATAACGGGCAAATTGAATATATGCAGACAAACCCACAGCAGTTTCAAATGCAGCACTGACAACAGACATCTTCTCATGATGCTGAGCCCATCGTGCAACCACAGCTGCAGTTTCAAAACCTCCAATAATGCTCGGTTTGATAACCTACGATGAGACATAAATACCACGTAATGATGCATGCCATTTTCTTGATGGGTCACAATTTCCACGCATGCCATATCAAGAGAACGCAAGAAAAATGTGCGATAATGTTCACATGTTCATTGTTATATTGAAAATCTACATATCTATACAAGTATTGATTACACTATATACTCCTACTTACGACAGCGGCTACTCCAGAGTGGGTGAATTTCTTGAGGACCTCAAGAGGGCTGTCTCTACTATAGTTGATAGTTTCATCCAGTGCCACGGGTAAGCCAGTCTCTTCACAGAATTTGATTATATCATCTTCATCTTCAACAGGCTCCTGAAGAAAAGGAAGAGTTCACAGAAAATTTTCTCAATGTAACAAGACAAAGTTCAAGGCGTCATATAAGCACAACAAATAACCTGTTACTTTCCACAACAATTAAGGAAAAATCAGGATAAAGACCAACGGAATGTCAAAATCAGAGAATTCTGGATTCTTGTGTAAAGAAGAGCAGAAGAAATAGAAAATGTCTCGAGACTTGAAATCATCAATCGATTGTCCATTAACCAATCATTTACTAGTGAGCATACCTCAATATACTGTAAGCAGCAATCTTTTACTGAATGTGCGAACTGAATTGCTTCACTATAGGTCCATTTCCGATTTGCATCAGCACGGATTACAATATGATGACCCACATTCTTTCTCACCTCTTGTATTACAGCAATATCTTCAAAAGGATCTGCCCTACGTGCTACCTATATACAGAACAACGAGCAAGTTCATGCTTCCACCAGTCAGATGATTGAAAATGTTGGCTAAATTAATGGGGTGCAAAGAACAGATATAATATTGATAACACACTCTTGTCCAAGTATAATGATTTGTGGATGTAATATTGTTACTTTTATCTTTATTGCAGTAAATCCTTCTTCAACTAGAGCAGATGCAACAAAAGCTGTGTCTGCGGGACTTCCATAAGAGTCAATAAGGGCACAAATTGGAACATCTGATGGACCCCTGGAGAATTCTTCTCTCTTTGGACGAAGAACATCCAATAGATTGCAACCTCCTCTTGCGGCAATTGCACTGAGGAGAGCCATCTCTAATCCGCACCTGACACTGGGTAAGATTGAACCTGGCTATAGGACGTCAGAATGTTAAAATATGCAAGAACGAACTGTAGAAGACAAAACGGGCATTTTTCCCCTTCTTTCCAATGTATTCTATTATTTGTGTATTGACATCATAGCATAATGAAAAAAAGACTTGCTGGACGTACCAGGATTCCTAAACTGTTCCATAACCAAGAAGAAATCGAACCCTTCAATAGAGGTAGCGTGTAATCGATTGTAGTTCCTTCTATGACATGAATAAGAAACTGAAGTTGCTCTTCGATGTCCAGCAAGTTCTCTCTGTGGGTTTCAAGAGGAGCAACCTGCTAGGTACTAATATGTCAGGACACTGAATGCATAGGTACTTATATTTAAAAATGGAAGAACGAGTATAAAAGAAATGATGGATGAAATGGTAATTGAATGCAACAAGAAGAAAAAAGGTAGTGACACAAAAAGTTTATGACATACTACATTCTTTGTATTGTTATGCAAATTATGAAAAATTGCAGCATAGTGAAACTAATTTAGAATAAGAGGGAACAACTTATCAACTTCAGGGGATAATTCAAATATCATAAGAATTTCACTATTAGAGTGAAATTATCTGTTCCAATATTCTTTCCTGATAAAAAGAAAGCCCGGAAATTTTAATACATCTGTTATAAGAACTCTGACATTATTTGAACAAAGAGCATACTGTTATTACATGTTTTTTGTCTAACGTAGCCTTAATGCCATAACAAGTATGTAAAAATTATTGAGTTAAAAATCCTAGTGTTCAGTGGACTCTGAACTTTTAGTGAACTTTCATATAGGTCACTAAATTTCGTTTGTTTCAAATTGGTGACTGAACTTAAATAGTGTTTCAAGTTGGTCAATGAACTTAAATATTTGTTACAATTTGGTTTGACAAATGGAAAGCTGACATGGCAGCCTAGTTGGCAATTAACTGGACTATGATGTCACATTTTCCATTAGTCCAATTGTTGGTTATGGATAAAATGACCAACGTGAAACTTATATTGCATACAAGGAATTCTTTTCCTTATGCACTGTGACAGATGGAGGGGCCAAGAAGCCTGGTTTATTGATTGCGAAGCTGCAAATATTATTATTTCTTATTTCTTCAACTTAAAAAGTTAAGTAATGGGCGAGATAAATCATGAGATAACATAAATTTTTCATAGGACCATAGTATAGACATGCTAAATTTGAAGGATAGACAAAATGATTGAGTGTTAATGCACTGACGCACATCGCATGTACCACACAGAGAGAGAGAGAGTTTTGGGTATAGAAACATGTAGTCTAGAGTTTTGAGTTACAAAATTTGTTATTAAGGTAATATATTCCATGCACAGTCATGTATTTATGTAAACCAAACATTCTGGAAATAAGAGAAGGAAACAGTCACACTTAATCTGACCTCCCCAAATCCAGTGCTTCCATCTTCAAGAGCCAGTGTTATAACATATCCTTCTCTGTAGAATGTGGTAGTGTTGGTACTGCGAGAAGCTGAAGTAGGTGGGGCGTTTAGCTGAACTCTGCCACATGATCAGACAGAGGAGAGTACCACGCATTAAATTTTTGAAATACTATATTCAAAACCATCCACTGTACAACACTCACCGATATAGAGAGTATTCCATGTTAATGATTTTGTAAATCACGTGCTCCTGGAATGTGGAATCTGTAACCGAAAGCTTTGAGAGGATATTTAAAGCATGATCTGATGCTTGTTGAGCAAATTTTCTTAAATTACTGAGAAGAAGCACACAATAAATTAGTACGGCAAAGGTTATCACCCATGAATCTAGGAGTATTTCGTACTTGTCAAAGCCTCACTACCTATGAAAGGTGGCATTGGCATCAATGCAGCTCTCAACTTCGATGATGCAATCAACATCTTCATGCTGAGATGTGAACAAAGCATCTTGTAGTTCAATTTTCGTCTGCACCTGTACATGCTTCACACTGTACACAAGATATTTCTCATAATAATTCAAGAAAAAAGAGTTACCATTTTGCCTAAAATTGAGGATATATGGAACTTAGACCCAAACAAACAAAGGCTAGAAAAGTCAAATGTTGTTTCAGTTTAAAATTTTTTTTCTCAGTTTATTCCTAACTTTATATGAATTCTCAATTTTATCAGTTTGTCATATGGCAAACGATAGGCTAGAGATTCATTGTTTCATTATTCCTACTTCAAACAATGATATCCACATTGCATTGATAATATCTGTATTGAAAGTTGCAAACCGTTCATTACCAAATTTTTATTATTATTATTTTTGCAGGGTGGGGGGTTGCAGAAAAAACCGTTAGAAGGCAAGCCCATAGGATAGAGTTCTTACGCATGTGCTGCACATAGATTCTGGATTGAGACATCATGAGATGTGTAGAAAAACTGATCTAGAATACTTCTTTCCGTAACGTTTGCAACTGGAAGTTGACTGAAGATTCCGCCACCATGATTGTTTATCACAACTATGACCATCGGTTTCCGGCGAACCCTTTAGACAACATATTTTTAACTTAAGGAGAGAGAAAAAATGTACATGCTAATTTTGAATGGCAACCTATGATACTGTTCGAGGAGGTAAAAAATTATAGGGTGGAACCCCCCGAACAGTTCAATTCACTGATAACTAACTATATTTATGTAATAACAGAAAACTGACGACATGCTGAAAGCCGCCAAGTGAATGAAACTACAGAAATAACAGATAATTATAGAACAATTGCCTATATTGAGAATCTAATCCAGTGATTGATTACGGATCTTCATAAAAAATATCAATTAAGATAGTTTAGGCCCAAGAAAAATCAAATAATATATTTTATTTGATAAAGAAATAATATTTAATAATAGAATTTCAATGAAAAATGCCTTGAGAGCCTGAAAAGAACGCAAGTAGCATGAACTTTGAGCACATAGTAAGGTAAAAGGAGGATATTTGATTTTCCTTCATAAGAGACATAAAAACTAAAACCAAAAGTTTATACACCTCAAGAGCATAAGATTAGCTTAAATGTAAAACTAAAAAAACATCAAGTCTGAGGAAAAGCTTAAGCATATCTTGACATGCATGTATTAGAAACTGATACAACACTGTGCCAGCAGAAGAGAAATGAGCAAAAAATATATATATAAATCATAATGTAGAAAGACACAGAAAAAAAAGCAAAGGAGTTTTCACCATTGTTTCAATAGTGCCAATCCGTTGGTATCATGCAGAAATGAAACATCTCCAATCACACAAAGAACCTGGAAATAGGTTTAAAGAGCGGTACACGTGATTGCATATTGAGAAATAACTATAATGGAATAATATAAGCTACTCTAAAGTCAATAGCCACAGATGTCACAGTTCCACAATTGCAAGACTGTTCATTCCCAATCAAAATTATGAAAAATTAAGTCCTTAATTACTCACCCGTTTGCTGCAGCCAACTGCAAATCCGATGGCAGTGCTAATTAACCCATCAATGCCACTAGCTCCACGATTTGCACCAACCTGTATCCAGTGACATGGTAATCCAGAGCTAAACATAGGATAAGTACTATGAGTACATGGAGCCCAGTTACAGCCATACATGTTTGCATCACGTATTGGCATGCTGTTTCCCAGAAAAAGAGCAGATTCACAGCGAAGGGCTTGAAGTATTATCCCAGCAGCGTACGGTTCAGTCAATGAGTTTTCTGAACCAATCAAAAATGATGTCTCCCAGGAAGCCTATCGAACATAAAGGACCAAGTTAAATAAAGCATGGCAGAGATATAAATTGCAAAGTTGTAACAAAATAATGATCAGTCAACTTCAAAAGGTGAGCGAAACCTTAATTATTGGTTGCATACCATCATGTCCAATCCTCGTAGAAACCCTCTCCATTTATTACTAATGTGTGGTGTACAAGTTTTAATCAAACAATCACAGAACTGGGTGATGGTACTCTGGATCCTGTGTGTCACAATATGTGAAGGATCATGACGACTTGGATGCTCGTCAACCAATATATATGGGCAAGGAAAGTTATGCTCCAGCTTCTGAGATATGCGCTTGCTTGTTATCCGACTTCCAATCTGTCATTTGCAAAGATGTGAATTGAATCAAGAATTTCATTAGTACTCTTTCAAGAAATAAGATAAGCACAACTCCGTAAGTTTTACAAAAACTGTGTTCTTGACAACTAGCATTTCTGGGGCAAGTTTTCAAAAACTTAACCAAGAAAAAGAAATTAGAAATAAACATTTATATCTACGAAATCAAAATTGGAAAAATTTAGTAATTTACACTACATATTCATGCTTTCAGTGATCTCGATGTTCCACTTTGTTTTAATGATTTATAGAAATTATGGGAACAGGATTGCTTTAAAAGAACTCCGAATGGAAACAATTCCATGCTATGTTCCCGGATGTAATAGATATACTTACTCACTGGAAGCTTAGACCAATGGACAAAAAACTTATCCAGCAAAAAGCACGTTCAAGAAAATATTTGAAGACCACTCCAAGTGATTAAGTATGAACTTCTCATCAATACCTATTGAATTTCCAGAAGGCTCTAGTTGTCTCCCTAGAAATCTAATCATTTGAAGCTAGAAAGCAAGCCAAAAAGATAAACTTTCACAAACATTTCTTCCTGGTGCAAACAGGTCAAGGACGAAAAATAGAAGTTCGGATTCTACAAAACAAAGAATAGTAGTTATATCATCTACTATCCTTTCATTTCATTCTTTTTCCAGCAATCATACCTTGTGATGGGAGAATTGGAGCTCATCTATAGTTTCACATTTCATCATTGCTTTTGGTTACATTAACCTTAGAAAGACTACCTTTTCTTTTGTGAAATGTGGAGAAAAACAAAATTCAAGGTACCTGGATTATTACATCAACCTGCATCCAATCCTTGAAAGAATCTGAGAGTAACAAATGATCAAGTTGATCAACAAACAAAATGTCCTTGCTGTCGAGAAAGGATGAGAAGTACTTTCTCAAACGTAAGCCCGACAGGATGTCTACTGCAACTGGCCACAAAAGGTGTTTAGCCAATAGAAGAGCTGCCCATATGTCATCCACTTTGTGAATCGGACCAAAAAGTAAAAGCCCTCGGTTTGCCCCTTGAATCAGCTTCAGAACTTCACCAATATGCCCATACATATTATCACAGGTCATAGAATGTTGTAATGGAATATAGCTGGTAAATGGTTCAGTATTCAACATCCAAAAATCTAATCCATCTAAACAGCTACGCATCCACATCCGTGGACTATTCTCCAGTGGTTCTCGGAAATGGCAGTTGATATGTACAGGACCATGTGGTGACGAGGTTGCCATATATACAGCAGAGTCAATACTGGTAAGTACTATCCTTGCTGAAATATCATCAGTAGGTGCAGGAAGACTGAAAAAATGCCGCACAAATGAACCAAAATGATTGACCTAAAATACAAAATTTAAAGATTGTTATGTTGACTCTTGCTCATTAGCTGAGGAGCTAAGAAAACATGCTCCAGGTTTAAACCTAAATTTCCAATATATTCAAAAGTAACGATTCTTATGTCTACCTGATTAATTGCTTGGTTTGCCCCGACATCTTGAAGCTCTGGTGGCCGGTCTGCTGTAAGTAACAGAAGTGGCACAAAATCTTGGCTAGCCTCCACAACCTGTAAAACAGCACGAAGTTGATACTATTGGATAAAAATACACACAATTAAGCAAAAGTCAAATAAGCAGATAGTAGTCATCTCAAAAGATGAAATTAAGGATTACACAAAAGGCAAAAGGCTTACTTAGAAAGACTCGATTAATTAATACTGCTATAAAGCAAATAGAATATAGTAGCCTACAAGATTAAGTTAGTATTATGGCCGCCAATCCAAATTTTACTATTAGAAAAAGATTGGCCTCAACCTGGTTAGTGTTATTGTGCAAGAAAATGAAAAATCGCCAAATAGATAACAATGTAAAAACCGTAGAGAAAAGAAATGAAACAAATATAATTATGACACAATAGAACTCACAGCAGGAAGAAGATTCGAGACTGCTGTTCCTGATGATGTTATAATGACCGCCGGTTTTTGAGAACCTCTGGCATAACCAAGAGCATGAAATGCAAGTGACCGCTCATCAATGCATGCAATACAACTCGTATGGGAATGACTAGAAGCAGCAACTGAAAGCGGAGATGACCTTGATCCAGGAGCTATACAAAAATACTGGATAAATAATAAATTAGAAACAGGCAAATTAGAGAAAACAAAAGATCTTGAAGATATTTGCTCTCACCGTCAAACCAAGTCGAGTGCATTCTTCCACTATAAGTGACGCCCACAAGGCATTGATGTTGGGGCAATCTTGCTTGAAGAAGCTCATTTGATTGTAATCTCTATGATGCTGGACATGAGACACAAATGACTATCACTTCGTCAGAAAATAAGATGCCAGGAGATCTAAACCATTCATCACCAATGACATTGCTGCTGAAGCCCATATGACGGCTAGCAATTATCCATGTAATTGGGAGAACTACTCAGACTGGACCATCAAAAAATTACATTAGAATGTTATATTTGATCAAAGCATTGTTGCATACCATTTTATTGGAAATAGCTAAAGTTGGTGAAAGTCTGGCAGAAAACTGACTGGAACAAAGTGAAACGTCTCTCTGTGAGCAATATGGCCGCTTAAAACTGGCCACATTTAGTTCACACCCCAATAAGCATACTGAAGTAGAACTTTATGTAATAGGAATTAAATTGACTGAGTTGAAAACTACCAGGATATAGGAGATACCAGTTCCATAGTGCTGGCTTCAGTATCCCTTCCATCTAGCAAGAGCGCATTCACGCATACCTACCAAAAAAATTCTCAAGTCCTAAGTTGAATAAAAAACAGCACACATTTTTTATAAGAAATCAATCCTTGGTAGTTAGATTATACCAACAAAAACATAATGATAGAATCAAGGGGCAGATATACAAATTCTAACATGAATATTTGGATGAGAATTTTATCTGGGAAAATTGGTAAGTTAGCCTTTTCCATGTAATCAATGTAGCTCTTGACGAACTTCCATTTTAGCCTTGATGCTTAGAAGGGTGATAGGAGAAAGAAATAGCGATAACGAGCTAACATATATGCTTCAACAATTACACAGCAAAGATATCTTTTAAGACAGTTTCACTTCCAATGAACTTTGAGCTTTGTGTCTACCATGTTGACTTTAGTCTCCTCCATTGTGTCAAACTTTATAAGAGCACGGCGCATGCATTCACTGCTACAGTGTCTGACCTGAAAGAAGGAAAAAGTTAAAAAGATGAATATGCTAATGATTAGCAAGAACTTTAGAACTCAATTAGCTTCAGTTAAGTAAATAAGTTTAAATTATATATTTCTTTTATCGATCAAAACTAGAAATAAGTAAGCTATTTTGACAGTAAGGTAAGAGTTACTTTCAAAGTAACTAACTTGTTTTACTTAATATTAAGAAAAATAAGTAACTTGTAACATGCTTTAAATAACAAGAATCCACGAATAAATTTCATCTGCTAACAAGTACCAACACGTAACAATGCACATATAAACCAACAATTAGTACCTGAACTTTGAATTTTTAAAAAAACCTGGATAAAATGATCAGATAAGCAAGATAACAACCATTTAGTACCTGGTCAAAAGATAACTCAAATGATTGAACTGCCTCGCTGAATGTACAAATTGAAGAGTCATTCCATGCCAGTGTTGCAACTAATATAGAGATATCCTCATATTCATCTAACTCAATCTGTTAAAACAATTTGATTACGGAAGTGCTACATGTTTAGAGTAGATCTCACTGGAGCATGACAAGAACATTCTACAGACAAATCCTAAATTGAAACTATTTTATAAAGTGTAATAAGCAGTCAAAGAATAGTGGAAACCATCAACCTAATTCTCAAAGAATGTACTTTCACCTGTGGAATGAAAAGGTAAAATGTGCCCGTCTCATGCTTCATGGAAGATAACATTGTGTCAAACTTGATGTCTAAGAAACCATAAGCCATTGACGCTGTTGATTCGACTGGAAGATATCTGAGGAAATATTATGTAAACATTTTTTAGCGAACTCTCTACTGAGTAAAAAACCAGAACTAAATCCCAAATTAAAAATCACATGCTGTTCACTGAATTGAAAAGATCGACCGCAGATCCTTCACCATAGAAAGAATAGAAATCAGAAATTATTCTGATATTTCAGAAACTAATCTTTTGACAATTAAAATGCATACATTGAAAACACATACACGCGCATGACAAGGTAATTGAGGACCAAAGCAAAGGGAAAGAAAGAGATTACCTCTGAATGGAAGTGCGTTGTCCTGAACCACAAGAAAAACACCCCTTGAAGTTGACAGCTGAACCAATACCAAAAACACCTCGAGTTATACCCAATGCAAGTGATTTATATGTTGGATTCTCCATCTCTTTTGAAAGGAAAAATAGAGGAAACACTGTTGATGACTCTGGTTGACAGCAAAACCAACGAAATGCTTTTTCACTTGGAGGCACAGCAACCTTTGAATTCAAAGCACAAGTCTTCACATTTTTCAACAAAAAGAAAAATATCTAGTACTGAAAAATGCATATAACTAAACGCACACGTGCATTATCTTGGCAGTTCATGATCAGTAAGCTTTTTATCACATTATATTTACATAATAGTACAAATGAGCATTCCAGATAACTCAATTCAAACCTCAAGGCAACAGATCTAGCGAGCCTAAAACCTTATAGGCCAACTTGGAAGTGCTTTACTATTCAATTGGAAATAGTGTATATACAAACACACCAAGCTCAACAAACTTAGAGTTGAGAGAGGGGCCCTGATCAGTTCAAGACGCTAACAGAGAGAGAAGAATCTAGAGCAGACAAAAATTATGCAGAAAAGAGAGATAAGTTTAATAATGATTTCAAAATAGCAAATACAAGATCATCCTTAAATACTAGCGTTTATGGAGGAGGCTTGAAGCTAATATCTTATTCGTATACTGTTTCAACACATCCACTTCTATCAGTTCTATGTGCCCATGACAACAGGTGGAGTACCTTATTGGCCACCATAGAAATCCTTCATTATACCATTTTAGACTTTTAATTTAAGTAGTCTCTGTACAACCAGTTTCTTAGCAATATGGTATCTCATCACTTAATATTGAATTCAAGCAAACTCGAGGAAGAAGGAAACTCTAATAATACCCTCACATTCAATTTCAGGAATATATTCAGCATTTTGAAGTAAAATTCTTTTTCTTTTTCCAATTTTTAAAACTGGGGAGGGCTGAGAGCATACAATAGAAGCCCAAGATTATTTTCCATAGTATTTTAATTATAATTGATAAATAAATAAATCGCCAATGAAGAAGAAAATTATAAAATCCCAGCACCTGAATTCTGTACATCCCACTAGAACAACTAGGAGGCTTTGATTTCAATTCATTCACGGCCTCCTTAATCTTATCTAATCCTTGCTCTAAAGTTAACGCCGGAGGTAAATTACGCGTAATGCAAGTCGAAACCAGCAATGCAGCATCCTTAACATCCACGACCTTGTCTTCTCTTATTGAACTTCCAACAACCTAAATAGACACATGTATGAAAAATAAAGACAACCCACAAAATAGAAGCGCAAGAAAGAAAAAATCTTGAAGCTTACCGCCTTCGGAATCAGATTTTTCGGGTTATTAAAGAGATTGAAGCAAAGCAAACCAGGGTAGAGAAAATTGCTGTGCTTAGTAATGGTAAAGATGGTTTTTTTGTGGGTCTGAAGTGGCGAAAACAAAGGGAGAGTGTTGTGAGAGTTTACGGTGAAGAGGCTCATTGCTTTGCTGGTGGTGTATGTATGGGTGAGGGTGGCTAACATAGAGGCATCAGAGTTAGTGGAGTGTATGCTTATTCATACATTTTATATAGAGATTGTGCACGGATTTGGAGGGATTTGTTCTTGGAATCGGTGAAGATGATCTAGCCCATTGAAAGTACTGAACTTGGATTTATTTATTTTATTTTTATGATTTTAGAATATTTTATAATGTCATTATATTGGTATTCACTAATTTCAATTCAATCCTCACCATAATTTCGCCATCTACCAATTTCCAATCTGTGTCATAGCTCCTCATTTTGATCCGTCTATCACGAAGGTCGAAAGAAATGACGGTTGTGATTGTGGTTGTGAGTTTTAGTGGGTGTAAAATGCAAAAAGGGTATTCTGTTAAAAAGTGTAAAAGAGTAAATTTTGTTAAAGTTTGAATTGAGTGAATTTTTCTAGAAAGAAGAAAATGATGGTGTATTCATAAGCTTACTTTAGTTCCCGGGCTCATGTTACGGTTGTGGATTTTGCGTTCCTCACTCTAGAGTTGGCAGTCCTCAAAATTGAAAAATTAAGTGATGAGGAATTAATGTATACTTATTGAACATCTTGAGTTTATTCGGAATACTTTTTTTGAGGAAAACGTGTGAGAAAGTATACTCCTTCAAAAGGGAAACTAATATTAAATTATTGATATAGAATAGTGAAACGAGGTGTTAATATAAATATATCTTTCTCTAAGTGACAATGATTCATCGCAGTACCATAAGATAGGTATAGCACGCTATTCTCTATAGAACCTGTTTGCAATGCTTTATAATGTGGTTGGTTATAAAATCTTTAACTTAGACTATTTAAGAGTTACCTAAATTCCATCTTATATTGAGAGGAAGTCAAAATATGGATAAAGGTGAATTTGGGGCAGAGACGGGACGCCTATGCGCCAGTTCGAGAAAAAGAATGAATGTAATTCAGAGATGGAGCGCCTGGGCTCTGCCCGTGAGGGCGTCGATACCATTCGGCCCACGGCCTATTTCGCGTTTCGACTTGGAATGCTCTTTCTATCTAAAACACTACAATTATGGTTTGACATGTACTCTATATATAATTGGCTCTTCATTGTGATTCAAAACAAGTTGTAAACACAAAATTTTGCATTCTTTCATCTTATATTGAATTCTCCTCCTTCACCCTTGATGTTTTCCACATAATCTTAGAGTTCTTGATCATTATTTTCATCTTACCATATTACTCTCATTTATTGAATCTAACAAGAGATATCAAAGTAAATCAGTATCGCATTATTTCATAATAAGTGGTATTAGAACGAGATAATAAATTCAGTTCGAGGTTTGATTTTGTGTTGACACCATGAAGTGTGGATATTCTGCTTTTAGATTGCAACATAAAATTTTCGTTAGGCAAGTAAGATATGAGCAATGCTCGTTCAGATTAATTTGGATGATACTTTGTTAGAATTTTACAAAATGCGCTCAAGTTGGACGTTGGAGGAGAAACAATATAATGATCGAAAGGCCCTATCAGAGATTCATCCTCATCTTTCGAATAATATTCTTCAGGATGTTTTAAAGGAGAAAATTGTCGCTTCATTATGGTTGAAGTTAAAGCAATTGTGCATGACGAAAGCAACGATTGTATTCTCATCGTATGATAGAAAGTACATCACTTGAAAATCACCTAGCTATTTTCAAGAATATTGTCACTGATTTGGAGGCCTTGGAGGTCGAGTATGATGAAGAAGATTTAGTGTTGATTTTGTTATATTAGTTGTCCGCTTCGTATATGTCTTTTAGAGATACGACATTATACAATCATAATACTCTCTCCATTAAAAAAGTATATGATGTTTTGTTTTCAAATGAGAAGATGAAGCATATTGTTGGATTTGAGACTCAAGGAGAAGGCCTTGTTTTCATGGTGATTGTGAGATTATCAGAACGAAATCTGATTCTATCAATAAAATTTGTAATTACTGCAAGAACAAAGGGGGCACATTAAGAAGTATTGTTATTATTGTAGAATAGAGATAGATCAGTTACTGCAAATTAGAAGGAAAAACAATTGAAACTTCAGGTGAAGCCAGTATTGCAGATGACTTCTATAGTGATGAAGAACTTTTGATTATTTCTGATGGCTACTCCTTACCTAAGAATGATTGGATTCTTGATACAGTTTGTACATTTCATATATGTCCTAATCGAGATTGATTTTCAACATATGAAGTAGCTTCTAAAGGTGTTGTGATGATGGAAAATAATGCTCCTTATAAGATAGTTGGTATTGAAATGGTCAGAATTAAAATGTTTGATGGAACTGTTAGAACGATTAATAATGTGAGTCATGTTCCAGATTTGAAAAGAAATCTTATCTCCTTGAGTATTCTTAATTTAAAATTGTACAAATACACCAATGAAGGTGGAGTCTTGAATGTTAGTAAATGTGCATGTGTTGCAATGAAGGGACTGAGAAGGTTCCAGTTCCAGTTTTATGTCCCTTGTGGTTCGACAGAATCTTTGGATATCAATCAGCAGACGTTGGACACTTAGTTAGAGTTTGAGTTTGGTACAGTACCGTTGAAGTTTGGTTTTATGGTCTACACTGAAAAATACATCTCGGTCAATTTTAGAAGTCACGAGCAATGCCGCTTTGCCAAATCACCGCGGTGCCCCATTATTCAATGGTTATGGACAGACTAATGAGAGATATTAAGCATCGAAAAAGGTATGAGAAAGCTAATTTAGTTGATTATGTTTTAGATGTAATCAAATGTATTGAGTCTAACAAAAAAAACCTTCACAAAAGCAAATAGTTATGTTGATTCTATTACATGGTATGTTTTTGCCCTGTTTGATAATTATTATTGAGTTTTTTGTGATTTAGTTGCTCGTAGTGATAATTTGAGCAATTTTGGTGCCCAAGATAATCGTGCTAAGTAGTGCTTGGATTCACTTGATATTCAATTAGTAAGTTTGTCCTAGTTGGGATTTGTGGAAGATGTGGAGAATTTTTGTTGAAAAGCTAAGTTTTATTCCTTGAAGTGCAATTCGTCTTCAGGTGGGAAATTTTTGAAACTTCATTTATTATAGTGAAATTTGTGTCAAAGTGGAGATTTGTTGAAGAGTGACATAAATTTCATCTTGTATTGATGGATAGGTTGAAAGAGGAAGTCAAAATATGGATAAAGGTGAATTTGGGGAAGAGACGAGGTGCTTAGGCGTTATTTCAAGAAAATGAAAAAATTTAATTCAGATATGAAACGCGTCACTCACTTGCCCAAGCTCTCGAGTGTCGTGTGCAGTTCGCTACGCACCAGGGGAACGCTTGAGCACCAATATCATCCAGTCCACGACCTATTTCGTGTATTGAAGAATTTTGGAATGTTCTTTCCATTTAAAACATTAATTATGGCATGACATGTACTCTATATATATAGTGGCTCTTCATTTTGATTTAGAACAAGTTTTGAGTACAAGATCTTATATTCTCTCATCTGATATTAAATTATCCTCTTATGCTCGTGGTATTTTTCACGTAAATCTTAGTGTTCTTGATCGTTATTTTCAACTTGTCATATTACTCTTGATACGTACGTTTTACATACTTATTTTACTGTCAAAATATGAGCAATTGTTGATTAATATGTTGGAATATAGCGTAATTCTATACAATTCATATTTTTCACGACAAGCGATGAATGTAGCAGAAATAAAGAGAAACAATTGAAAAATGACCAGAATGAAAGAAAGTGAAATTTCAAGGACTAAAGTGCAAATACTTAAAAATTATGTCAAGGCTCACGATGAAGGTTCGAGAGTGCTAAGGGTCGATTGAAAGCAATTAGAAGTCAAAAAGGAATGAAATATGATCAAAATATTATCAAAATCAATTTCCAATTCGCACAAGATATATTCCAGATTTTTAGCTGAAAATTGAGACCCATTTTTGGCATAGTAAAATTCCGAATTGGAAAAGAGCTAGTAACAAAGTTGTAGTTCTTTGAGTTATCTTTCCAAC